CTTTGTGGTTTATGTAAAGGAAAACCCATAAAAGAAATGGTTAGAACGGTTCAAGAGGTTGTCATTGCCTTTGAACACTTCGCTGGCAACAAACGCCGACTGGCCGAGAGACAGTCACGTGGCATTTGCTCTAGCTCTTTTAGCTACTTTTTGTGCATGGCTAATGACCACCTGTGAATGTGTACACTGGTGGGCATGTTTGAACATTGGCTGCGATCCGCAATACGAGCGATTCACAATATAATAGTGCGCCTTCAAGAGTTTTCAATGCGTTCACCAATCACGCTGCGCGAACTCTGTCGACCCGTTCCAAATGTGCAGCGCCCGACTAAAATCAAAACTATGGGCAAATTCACCGCTCGGTATAGAGTACTTACGCACAGTTAAAGAATTTTAAAAGTCTTTTATGTTTTGATAATTCTTTCGAGATAAAAATCCCTGCCTTTCTATCAACAACGCAAGGCAAGGTTTTCCGCATAGTCGCTCGTGATACACGTATTCAACTGACGGTGAACACAGCCCATGCTCCAACCTATGGTGCTCTATAGCCGCCAATTGTGCGTCGCGTCGTCCCGTCGCTCGACGCCACGACGCGACGCTACGACAGCTCTGTCGGCCTAACCCACACTGTATAAAAACCATACAATGACAGGCGACGCAACGCTACGACGACACGACGCAACACTACGACGGCACGACGCAACATCACGACGGCACGATACAATGTATTAAACACAGCATAAAAGTAATTAGAAAAGAGGCGTCGCCACGATGCGACGCGACGACGCGACGTAGATGTCGTCGCGTCGTGGTGTCGTGGCGACGGGACGACAAGACGCAATTTTGGCGGCTATAGAAAACCATACCAACCAGCTTACATAGGTTATTCATCGGCGCCATGTTACTTCAAACAGATAACAAATCCTATAATACAGGCTTGCTTGCCAATGTCAACCAAATCGTTTGTGGCATCAATAGTTGAAATGGCAAGCCACGCCACTATTCGAGTCGACTTTGTATTCCGCACAATGGTAAAAGAACTTTTGAGACCGTACAAACGCATTACAAATGTATATTGTGCTTCAAGCTGGTATGGTTCGTTTTTGGTTCCGAGTTAATCTCAGGGAAAAGGGCATTTAGAATGGGTAGCTGTGTGGAAAATCATATTCTACTGCCAGATCATCTTTTTAACTAATATCAGTCTGCAAGCAACATTTTAGAGTACGCGTTTTAAAGTACACTTGGGTACATCCAGAGCAGTGTGCTCCTATAAGGTAGAAAAATAATGTTAGCGGTCAAAGTGTTCCGAATTTTAAAACAATGTTCGAACCATATATTGGCCCAACAGAGTTTGCCAAAAGCACGTTCCATCTCAACATATCTCAAATTATAACATTTAAAATATACGTGCCGGTTTACTCACCACAGCGACCAGAGACGAAATTTGTCTTTTTCAAGCGTTTTCCGCCGACTCAATCTGTAACTCCTCTAGTAGATAAAGCGGTTCACGATACGAGCAGCTTGCACGTCAGCATTCGCTCACTATATGCATTATCATGTACATAACATTCATGTTAGTGTGCTGTGCCCGCCGCATATGGCCGGGTAATGGAGGACGAAAAGTGGCCACTGCTTTTCTGCTATCAGAGTACTAGAAAAGCAGATTTTATGTTCTGGTAACATGCAATTTCAACTTTTCTACTTTTCTGCCACTTCAAAAAGCAGAAAGAACATTGTTTGGTTATGCATTTTTCTGCTTTTCTACTTAACAAAAGGCAGATTGAGCGAGATCGCGCGCCTGACTGAAATTTAACCACAATGCTCTACGCGTCGTTAGCTGTGACCCCGATAATGACGTATTTCCTTAAATAAAATCTGTGCAAAGCCAGCGACGAGCGAAGGTAATGCGGACTACTGTACTGTACACCATACACAAAAGCTGCCCTTTAAGCCTGGGTTTATAGGTCACCATGATACACTGGTAGGCCCTATGATGAAAAACACGCTTAAAAACATATAAAACGTCTTTTCAAAAATCGGGGCAGCCAGGAAAATCGGGTCGGTCGGTGATGTTAACCTAAAAACTAATTCCAAATGGCCTGATATAAATCGTAAGCTCCGGGCGCCCTTCCACATTAATAGTATGCATGTTTCTTAGTCCGTTCGTTATGCGCATCCTTTAGTTGCCGCGTTTCGCTCCTGAACCTAAAGCATCTTAAGCATACGGTCCAGATGAAAGGTATTTGGATTCGTACATTCGTACAAATATCTCGTACGTAAGACAAATATCTTGTAAGAATTTAGATCTCATACCATTTGTATCTTATGCATGAGCTTGCGAGATATATTACGTCGTACGCGCGCCACATTATGCCGTACATACGAGATGTCGCATGTACAACGTTTATAGCACGATATCACTGCAATTTATGAAATACACTTTTTAGGCTGGAATCACATGATGACTATCACGGAATGACTTGTGATTATGCAAATATAATATCAAGCAAGCCACATCAGCAGTTGGTGTATTGACGCCAACTTCTCACGCCACCTGCACAAAAAAGTGTGCCCAAAAGCGTGACTAACGACCGTGACTGTGCCAGAGATAACCTTTTCTACTGCGTGTATTGTGAGGTTGTAAAGACACCCGGTGCAGATTTTTAATGGGCAAATTGATTGAAAGAATCATGTAAAATTGTTTTTATGATTAGAATACATGTAGCGCAACTTTACCTGCATGGTAATGTTGACTTTTAATCTCCTATGTAGCAGGAAAGGGAGAAATTTCAAGATACGGATTTTACGTGATGTATTTCAATTGAAAGGTGGAACTAGACTGGATCCCGTCCGGTACGTAGTCTCCAGACGTCTTACCGACATCCTCTGAACCTAGGGACTGGTAGCGGGTAATGAAACCGCAGCTTGTTTACCGGTCCCTATAGGCCTATAATTGGGACGGGGACCAGTCCAAGGCAGAACAAGAGTATCTCCATAGCTTTGTGTATCAGGTACCAAACACGTTTCCACTTTCTCCTCTTGCAGCAGGTTCCGCATTATACTTGAATTTCCGAAAAACCAAAGAAAGGAAATAAATATTGATTGTTTGCAACTACTGTGTGTGGTCCATCCTTATACTGTTAGCCAGGGAGGCAATTTGTCCTTGGACTGGAATTTTAGAAAGTGCGAAAATAGATTGAAATCACAGGGATGCAGCTCGTGGCAGCAAGGCCAAATCCCAGGAAGAAAAGGACACGTACGATCTTTTGTGAGTGTGGGCCACGTAAGCTTTAGCCATCACTTCGGCCATCACAACATTATCATGTACATTGTACACATATGCTAATGAGGCTTACGACGCGCGAAATCTGTCGACCCAATGCTCGTTTGAAAAGGGTCGACAGATTTTGCGCGTTGCTATTGGCCAACACGTAGCAAACTTTTGGAGGCGCACTATTGTGAATCGCTCGTATTGGCATTCTCAGTTCGGCTATGTTGAAGTGAAAGCAAGGTTGACATTTTCATATGGGGAATCCAAGGCACTTTTCAATTTCAAAATCAATTTGCTGAGCCAAACTTGATTTCAAACGCCGTGCTTATGCCTTGCTGAATAGAAAAAAATCATGAAATAAATCAACTAGGGAAACTGACTAGGTGCTTATGAATGATTATAAAGGTGAACAAAGAAATTGACTGGAGTGAAAATGGAACCTGCGGCCTCTGGAATACCGTACCAGTGCTCTACTAGCTGAACTACTCAACCCTGTGTTGGTGTCTCTTCCCATTTGTCAATATCTCTGTTGGGGGGGGGGGGCGCTAGCCAGAAGCCATTAACCTGAAACACCATGTAGCCAGGGATCACACCCCAATTACACAATACAACCTTGGTGAACAGGGATCACATTTACCAAAAAATCAAGTTGAATTGTATTGGACACGGCATAAGCACGACGTTTGAAACGGGCCTAAAAATGAAAAGCAAAGAAAGAAAGCTGATTACAAATTGAACTTGATTTCAGTGACTGAATTTTGATTCATCGGAATGAAGCCATGTGGATTTATATGATGTCCGCATCCGCTTATTATGTACTAAGGGGATGCGAACATCCTGAATGAAGGATAACAGGCTATTATCATCCACGTACATTATCAAAGATAATGATATCCCGAGGGTTGGATTGTAGCACATATGTTGGCCTATAACCTTTTGCGAGTTGAATTTGAATAAAATCTGGTACACTGAGATCTTTGAATTTACGTGAATATAACAATTTGAATTCTCCTTACTAAAAACACAGTTGTTATTACCTCGTGATTCGGGGCAAGCTTTCGCATAATATAAGAGACGCCTTGCACTGATGCACAATTTTCAATGGATAACAGGGGCACTAAGGAAATTCCATTTCAGAGATGGTGGTCGCTGTGCATCAATTGAAGAGTGCCCCGAACACCACAGAGCTATGATTACGTATAGCTCTATGGCCCCGAATCACGAAATAGTAACAGTTTATCCGGGGGGTTTCATTATGCTTTTACGTAGGCCTATATGTACAAGTCAGATAATACAGTGTACCAGATTTTATATGATTTAACTCACGATGCTGTTCAAGCAGTTGGAAATCGTTGGTAATACGGTGACCTGATTATTCTTGAGATTATAAACAAGCACAGTCAAGTGTTAAATCACAATATCAATTTACGTGCCGACTGGCGTTCCAAACACGATATAAAACTTAATCCTGCTAAATGTAAAGCTTTGCATATCTCATTCTTGCGTAATCCACCTCCTCCTGTGCATCTTAAACAGAAGTTAATGATGTTAATGATTGGGCTTGTTTCGTAGACAATTCGGGAGCAGTGGACGGTGTCTTTCAGAAACTAACTTTCTTTTTGCAAATTGAATAGTAAGGTCAACACGTCTGTCTGAGAGTAATTTGATATTGTAGCAATAAAGCTCATCTTTATATAGTAAAACATTTGGGTAGGAAATTATGTGAATTATCTGGACTCTTTCGATACTTTCAACCTGATTGTAAGTCAGACCTGAGGACTGTACACCACATTCAAATAGAGCACGAATGTATGTCTTATAAATGCATTAGTGTTGATATTATTTTCTAAGTTTACTTGAATATCAAGTCTACGTGAGGCATTGACATCCTGGATGGTTATTCCAAGTAACTTGATGCCACGGTCCAATCCTCGGGATATCGTCATCTTTGATAATGTACGTGGAAGAAGATATTATCCTTCATTCAGGATGTCTGCATCCCCTTATTATATCATTCAGATACAGGAAGTCAACAATATAACTAATTTCCTGTTTCTTAGCCTGAGCCGAAATAATACGTCAGGATCGTAATCATTCAGGTGGCATTTCAAGAGACCCGCAATACAGTTGTGACGCCGATTATAGATCGGTGGTTTTTGCACAAGGTCCATGATATTATGGAATTCCATATCTGCCGTCGTGCGTCGCCCGTCGTGCGTCGTCCGTCGTGTGACGCCCGTCGTGCGTCGCCCGTCGTGCGTCGCCCGTCGTGCGTCGCCCGTCGTGCGTCGCCCGTCGTGCGTCGTCCGTCGTGCGTCGCCCGTGGTTTTTTTTGTCACGATTGCGCAGTGGTATTTTTAACTATGACCCTTGATCGTTTC